CAGAAATTGGCGATCCCATTGGTGTTCCTTTCAGCTGTTCGTAGATTATTGTTATTATTATTATTATTATTATTATTATTGTTACTAACGTCTGCATTCCACCTGTGTGCCGGCTGAACGTAGAGCTAAGGTATAACCCAGTAGCAGTGCAACGTGGTAGAGTGGGTCAACAATGGTTTACAGTTAGACGCGTAATGCATTTACAATCGATCCGCCTAAGAAATTGAATCTCTCAAGCATCATTAGTCCTGATGGAACCAGTGCAACAGGTTCCAAAGTGCAAGGATCAAAGCAGAAACAGATGGCGCCTCTAACTACAACTCCGTAAAAGCCCTACGAAATATCGTGAAAAACTGTTGGGTAAAAATATATCGTGAAGTGCAAGTAGCCTCCACCGCAGGAACAATGGCATACGCAGCACCAGTGACCGTCACTTTGCTTGTTGGACTGAGCCGGAAATTCGTCGAAGACACTGGCTCTTATAAGTCGGTAATCCTGGTGGAACAAAAGCGAAAGATCCCAATCCAACAGGATCAACATAGGAACCGGCTGTCTGCAACGTCGGCTTAGGAAGAGCCACGAGAAAGATATCGAAAACTAGTAGGCCAAAATAATTAATGAAATGAAAGTGGCTTCTGCATCAAGAGCTCTTTCACCTGATACATAACACCGTAGGTCGTCGCACACCGGTCACTGAAAACAGTTGCGATAGAAAAGAACAGGGTATTCACAATAAAGAAGAACGAGTTGATCACGGAGTAGCGTATTTTAGTGAACAGTTCAGTTTGACTGGTGCCAATGCGGTTATTCCGGCGATTGCAGCAGGAACATCGTGAGTAGTGACATGTGAGCCTTCAACCGAATTAGAAGCTAAAGAAAGGGAAGGCAGTGGCACCTAATGAGCTTCTCCTTATTCTTTTAGAGTTGGGGGAAGGGTGGCTCTCACCGATTCATATACTTCCTTACTTCGCAGCACCTGATGGAAGATGATAAATCAGATTGGTAGTGCCATTTTGGTTTCTTTTTCAATTTCACACCACCGTTGTAGGATGGACATAACAAGGGGTAAATCCTACTGTCCACTAACGAAAAC